CTGACCCGGACATGGCAATTGAGGATCTGCAGATGGTGTGCAGTACCCACGTGGACGATCTCAAGGGAGCTTCGACCGAACCGATTGCTGACGCCTTCATGGATGCTCTTGAGTCGGAGTTCGGAAAACTTACAAGGCAGAAGAGAAGGTTCGAGCACTGCGGCGTCATTCATGATCAGCATGAAGACGGATCGGTGTGGTGCTCGCAGGATCACTACGCTGCTCAACTTCGGCCAATGCAGGTAGACAAGATTCGAGCTGATGAAGAAGCCCTCGATTCTCAAGACCGAACTTCATTTTGGTCACTCTTGGGTGGAGCAGCCTGGATGTTAGTCACGCGAGCAGATGTTGCAGTCCATATCGGGTATCTACAGCGACATGCTCATGAACCTTGCTGGAAACATGTCAGACATTTGAACTCAGTTGTACGGTGGATCAAGAGAAAGAAGAGTTCGCTTGTCTACTATTCAGTACCTTTGCCATGGAGTGTTGTGGGTTTCCCCGACAGTGCTTTTCGTGCGACCGAGCCGGACTGCCTGGCTGTGAGAGCGGCAGTTATCGCGATTGCTGGTCGAGACTTCATGCCGAAAGGAGGACTATGTGCAGCAGTGGAGTTCTACTCACGAAAGCAACCTCGAGTATGCCGTTCTACTTTCTCAGCGGAGCTGGCAAGTGTGGATGACGGTATCAGCAATGCTTTGTTGACACAAGTTATGGTGTGCGAGATCGTTCACGGCCCCTTGACGGCGAAACAGATTCAGAAATGCATGGACACCGGAAGGCTACCAGTTGACTTGCACATTTGCACGGACAACAGGGGCTTGTTTACGGCGCTGGGTGCCACCGAGCTGAAGGCACCAGCGGAACCTCACCTTTTGTACTTGCTGAGAGCTCTACGTGACAGACTTGAAGCAGGTACTCTCTGTAAGCTCTGGTGGGTGGACACTAGAGCCATGATCAGCGATGCGTTGACCAAGGGCGGATTGGCTCGAGAACCTATCTTGAAGCTATGGGAGACGGCAGTTTTGATGATAACGGGAGATGAACCTCTGGCTCTGTGCCTGCGGAGTCCTCACAAGGACACCAGTGAGGGGGAATATCAGTGAGTCTTCATCTTTACATACGTCGATGGATTGCAAGGTTTTCTTTTGATGAAGATTGGACTACTATCTTTGCAGGGAGGATATTTTCCCTATATTTTTTTTGTGTCTACACTGGGGTAGGCCTTACATGTGACTGGTGCGAGTCGTATTGCTCCTCGCTGTGTTGTTTGTCTGTTACTGTGGTATTGGCAGTAGCCCTTGATGTGCTCTTTATGTGAATATATGTATTTTGCCGTCTGTCCACTTCTTTTAGCCTCGGGAGCTCCCGTGTTGTGTTTAGGGTGCTCCCACAGAGAGCGCTGTGTGTTTGTTTTGGCAACTTGCCTATCAGAGGTCGGTTGCCAGTGGCGGGCCAGCCGCGTAAGCGAATCTGCTGTGCCCTCAGTGCGTACGTGTGGGATCAGCTCGTAGACTTTCGCTGAGTTTTTCCCACCCCGAGTTGATGTGTACATGTCCTCCCGGGAGAAGGGAGGGTAAGCATGAGTGCCCAGCGTGCAGAGAGGCATGTATACGGCAAAGCGGCGTGACTGCCGCTTTGGCTCAAGCCATTCAGTGAGAAGCCTCTCTCGAGAGGGTGCGAATCCTGTGTGCGGCGGCAGCCTCCCCCCCTTTCCACCATCATTCCATATCAGATAATCAAGATTATCAGAGTCACGACGTTCCTCGTGGTCCTCTCCCTCTTCGTGGCCCTTCGGGCCAACAGGGCTCTCAGGACCGGCACTGTGGAAGTGCCTGTATCACCTCCGTTGGCGGACGCGCTGACGGACTGTGACGGCGGCGAACCTCTGGAGGCGTTGTCCCAGGAGGAGGAGCGTGAGGAAAACAACTGCTCGGGGGCTTATTCTGCGAGGGCGAGGGGCTCCCCCCCTCCTCCGTTCTGCTCGGCCTCCCCCCTCCCCTCCTCCCTCCTTCTATCCCTTGTTCCTCCCTCCTCGAACCCCGCGCCGTGCTCTGCCTTCCCTTTTCGAACGGGGCTGGGACGAGGGTGAATCCGTTCCAGAGCGTTCCAGGACTCTCTCTCTCTTTCTCTCTCTCTCTCTCAGAGCGTTCCAGGACGCCCCGAGAGGGCCGCGGCGCCGGAGGCATCCTCCAGAGCAGCTGGATCCAAGATATTCTCGATTCTACAGGCTTACGCCACATCCGCCGACCCCTTCTGCGACTGTTGCGAGACCAGGAGTTTCTGGCCAGCGGCGTCTTGTGTGAGGGTGCGGTGTCGCGCGCGGGTGGTGGCAGATACGTAGGGGGTCCAAATGTTTGCTGTGATCAGCGAAGCATCACCGCGAAAGATGTGGCAGATGAGTCGAAACGGGTGAAGAGGCTGTTGACGTTCGCAGCGCGCACGAAACAGTTCGCGTAGCAGCAGCACGTTCGCGCCGAGCAAGATTGTGAGCACGTCGCGAGGAAGAGCAAGGCTGCATGCGCGGAGTGCATTGCAGTTGGCTTGACGGCTCGCAATGCGGAAGCGTCTGGGGGTCTTTTGGAGGCCTCCTGTGGGGCTCTTGGGGGCTCCTTGGGGCGTCTTGGCGGCCTCTTGGGGGCCTCTGGCGGCCTATTGGGGCCCTCCTGGGACGCATCTTGGAGGCCTCTTGGGGCCTCTTGGGGCCGTCCTGGGCCGTCTGGAGGCGATCGTCGGTGTCTTTGATCGCTCTTCGACCGTCTGTGACCATATTGAGCTCTCTTGGAGGCCACTTGAAGCGCTCCTGGAACGCTCTTGGGGCCGTCTTCGGGGCCCTCTTGGGCAATCTCGGGCGCCTCTTGGGCTGTCTTGGGGCTCTCTTGGGCTGCCTTGGAGCTTCCCTGGAGGCTGCTTGGACCGTCTTGGGGCGGTATTTAGGGCCTCTTGGGCCGTCTGGGAGCGTCGGAAAGCCCAAAAAGCGAATTCGTGAAAAATGTACGTTTTACGAAGGGAATGGGCCAATTTTTGCGTCTAGGGACCCTCGTGGGACGCATCTTGGAGGCCTCTTGGGGCCTCTTGGGGACCTCTTGGGCCGTCTTGGAGGCCTCTTAGCCCGTCTTTGAGCCATCTTGGGCGTCTGGGAGCGCTCGTTTGGCGTCTCGGGGCTCCCGTGGGCCGTCTTGAAGGCCTCTCTGGGCCATCTTGGCCCGTCTTGAGGCTTCCTGGGGCCCGGAAAAGCCCCGGCGGCGCTCGTCCCGGGCCCGGGGGGGGGCGCTCGTCCCGGGCCCCGGGGGGGCGCTCGTCCCGGGCCCGGGGGGGGCACTCGTCCCGGGCCCGGGGGAGGCGCTCGTCCCGGGCCCGGGGGGGGGGGGGTCAAATCGCCGGTTTGGGGCCCCGGGGGGGGGACTATAGGGGGGGGAACTATCTCACACGCCTAGAGACCCACAAGGGGTCGGCGGATTTCTTCTCGCACGATTTGATCCTCGTCCTGGCCTCGTCTTGCCCTTCCTCCCGCTCCACCCCCCAAACATTCTCCTCCACTCCATCCCCACCTCACCTTTCCTCCTTCTCCTCTCCTCCGCCTCCCTCCCTCCCCTCCCTGCCCCGTTCGGGGGCCTGTCAGTCTCTCTTGGCCTCTTCCCTCGGCACCGCTCGGACGTGCGCACGCTTCGCCGGCAGAGGCCATCGAGGAGCATCCTTCTCCTCCTCATCCTCTTTCTCCTCCTCCTTTTCTTCCTCCTCCTCCTCCTCCTCCCTCTCCTCCTTCTCCTCCTCGTCCTTCTCCTCCTCCTCCTCCTTCTCTTCCTCCTCCTTTATCGAATACTGCCCGGGCGAGTGCGCGTCCGAGCGATGGTGAGCTCTCCCCGAGCCTCAGGCGTGAGGCCGGCTGGGGCTGGAAGTCCATGCTCTGCGCTCGGCGCGCCGTCTGGCCTGCCTCGGCGTGGATGGCCAAGGAGTGCTGGAACTCGTGTCGCCCTCGGCCTGGTTCTCTGGTAATGCGGTTTTGGTTCGAGGGCTCCGTCTCGGGGGCTGCGTGCCACCGAAGGCGTGTCCGTGCGGCTGGTGATGCTCATGTGCAAGTCGTGGATTCTGCCCATGTGCAGGCGGCTTCCTGTTCCAGTGGCAGCATCGCTCGACTGCTCCGCTTCGCTGTTCTGTGTAGCCATGGAGCTCATCACATCATATTGAAAGCATCACTAGTGCCTTCCGAGGATGGCGATGCAGAGGAGGATGAGGAGGATGAGGGGCATGAGAGGGAGGTGGTCGAGGAAAAGGATGTCTAGTGACCTTCGGCCCATCCCGCCACTGCGTTTGGGTCGTAGATCAGGGGCCTCTTGGTTGCCTCTGGAAAAACTATCGTGTTGCCTCTTGGATGCATTTTGCGGGTGTCTTTGGGCCTTTCGGGGGCCTCTTGAGTCCTCATTTGGGTTCCCTGAGGCTTTTTCGGTGTCTCGTGGGGGCCTGCTGGCAGTCTCGCGATTCATCTTGGGACGCATGGCTCGAACTAACTCTTCGAGCTTCCCTTCATGGGCCCATATTGGGGCCGTCTTGGATTGTCTTGGGAGGCTTGGGCCGTCTTGAGGCCCTTTACGGCTGTCTTGGGGACTTCTTGGGGGCCTCTTGGATACGTTGGGATGATCTTGGAGGCCTCTTGGGCCGTCTTAGAGCGTCGGAAGCTCGAAATGGCGACAACGCCAGAATCTTTCAGAAAATGGCAGGGTAGACGATTACGACGACGACGACGCCGACGCAGGCGCCGACGCATACGCCCACGCCGACGACGACGACGGCGACGACGACGACGACCACCACCACCACGACTACGACGACGACTGCGACGACGACGACGACCACCACCACTACGACGACGACGACCACCACCAGCACCACCACCACCACGACTACGACGACGACGACGACGACGACGACCACGACCACGACCACGACCACGACCACGATCTGGACGACCACGACGACGAGCCCGCGGGGCGCCAGCAGAGGCGATCAGAGCAGCCGCCGACGCGCTGCAGGACGGCGAAGAGGAGGCGGCCCCCGCCGGCGCCCCGCTCCCCACCCTCTGCGCCAGGGGGCGGGGCCGCGCCTCGCGCCGGAGGGAGCCGCGGTCATGGGCCTCCTCGCTGGCTCCAGCTTTGGGGAGGGTAGGGCTGAGCTCGCGTGGCTGACTTGACGAACGAACAACACGCACCCATACCCATAGGGGGGTCGTTGGGAGGAGGACTCGCTATGGGTATGGGTGCGGGTTGTCGGACCCTGGGGAACGCTCCCGTTCGAGCGGGGACCCCCATCCGACAACACGTACCCATAGCCCTCTCCGATCCCCCTATGGGTAAGGGTGTGTGTTGTTGGTTCGTCATGACGGGGGTAGGGTGGGTGCCCGCGCGCGCCGTCGCCCAGGAGCAAGCGGCGCAGCGAGTGGCTCCCGCGCCCCGCGTTTGGCCGCAAACACGCTTGGCTTGCGTCGAGGGGGGGCTCTGGCCCTGTCGGGTCACGGGTTGCAGCCAAACCTGGCAGTACGGATGATCGATTTCCCCAGGGTTCTTTTGCCGTCCCTGCCTCTTCGGTCATCTTCGGTCCGTGCGCGGCCACGTCTGATTGCCAGCCCCGCGCGGAGAGCTTCGGCATGGGCGTCCACCGCCCTTGCGTGCCGCGCATCCTTGCTGTATGGGCTGACTGTAGGAGTCACGATCTTGTCTCGCAGTCACGATGCATGTCTGAGTCTTCCAGGAGGCCATGGCGTCCCCCACCTGGTCCGAACCAGGCCTGGGCGACTGTCCGAAGAAGCGGTTCGTCTAGGCCTCCCAGATGGGGTCCGAGGAGATGCCGTCGATGGATCGCTCCGCATCGCTGATGGATCGACGATGCGGCCCGATGTGGAGCCGTAGTCTCCCGACGCCGATGGCGCCGATGCGTCGCCGATGCATTGGCGATGCGGCGCGATCCTCTGACATCATCTACTTGAACCCCATCTAGGAGGCCTCTAGTTCGCTCATACGTTCGTTCCCAGATGGGGTGCAGACTCATTCGAATCTTGAACAAACCACAACGAGAGGTTTTTTTGCATTTTCGGCCTCCTGGGGCCCTCGCCGGGGCCACGATGAAACTTTCGCGTCGTGAGCGAATCACGACGAGAGGTCTTTTGTTATTTTCGGTTTTTTCGGGGCCTGGGGTCCGTCAAACAACGACTCAGGGAGTGGGTCGAGACTTCCGAGGGGCCCACGTTGCGAACAACTTCTGACGTTGTGGGTTTGGGCAGGGCATGTGTTGCCGGCTGCCCGAGTCGGGCCCGCGCAGATGTGGGTGGAGGGTCGTGCCGCAGTGCATCGACGATGTGGCCCGGTGTGCGGCCAGATTGTCTTCACGCCGACGTCGCCGACGCCCCGCGGACGTCGTCAAGGCATCGGAAGTGCGTCGGCGATGCGGCGCAGTCCTTCGACCCCATTAGTTCGGACGCCATGCGGGAGAGCTCCAAATGAGGCGGTGTGGTCGAAACTACCCATCGGTCGCTGAAAGTAGGTATTTTTGGAGTCCAATAATCCAATCTACTTTAAGCGCCTCCTGCTTCAATGATCGAGTGGCTTCACTTTTCCCTATCTCCCAAGGGGGCGGACGGAACCCAATCTACTTTCAACTCCTTCCTATTTCATGCTTTTGCCTACTTTTTCCGACTGATGGGTAGAGAAGGCGGTGCGGTCGAAGCTAATACGGAAAGAATGGTGGCACAGATCCACAGCAGTTCACCCGACTGGAGCAGGACTCGCTGCCGACGCCGCCGCGGGCGCTGCCCACGTGAGGTGTAAAGGTCGACTCTGCCCAAAAGCGGCCGCTTGTTGGTTTCGGACAGCCTCCGATGCTGGGTTCTGTTCCCATCAGGGCTAATTTTAATTCCCCCGATTCAATTCGATTCATTTTCGATGGATTCCGATTCTGATTAGATTCGATTTGGGATTCCGATTTGGGGTGCGACTTTTTCCTCCCTGGAGACATACTAGCTTGCCGATGTCTACCGATTGAACTTTCCCCGATTCGGCTGCCGATTTCCGCCGATCTGGTTCATTTCGATCGCCGGTTGGACTTGTCGATTCGATTCTGGGCTCCTGTCATTTTTCGTACCCATGTCGGGCAGAGGGCTCGACATGTCTGTTCGTGGTCCCCTTGCTGGACCTCTCTTGGGCCGTCTCGGGGGTCTCTCGGGCCTGCTCGGGGCCCTCTTGGGGCCGGCTTGCGGACCTCCCGGGGACCTCTTGGGCTGTCTTGGGGCGATCTTCGGGGTCTCTCGGGCTGTCCTGGATTTTGGGGCATTCTCGAGGGCCCTCGGACCGTCAATATTCTATATGCTGGACGTCTTGGGGCGCTCCTGGGCCGTGTCGAACCCTCTTTTGGGCTCTCTTACAGGCCCCGTGGAGCGTCTTTGGAGCAGTCTTGGGCGCCACCGCAGAGGCGCACCACTGGCCGGAAAAGACCCCGGGGGGTCGCCCCCCGCGCCGGCCGAACTAGATGTGTCCAGTGTTGGCCTCCTGGCCGAAACTTTGGCACGCCTCCGGGGAGGAGGTGAGAGAAGACAAGGGTCGGTGTACCCCAGCATTCTTATCCATACCCTATGTGCGTCCCTGTCCCCCCTGGCGACGCGCGCACCGAGAGATCTTACAGCACATGCGTCGTGGCGGGCGTTCTGACCACTCCGCCCTGGAAACGATATACCGCAGGATGGGTACACTGTTTGTTCGGGTCGGACGCGCGCCTCCAAGGAGGTCATATCGTATCAGTATGTCCCTGTGTGGCCCGAAGGGAGAGAAATAGGAGAGAAGGTGAGAGAAGACTGAAGTGCCCATTTAACACCACCGCTACCATATGTAGGACGGGGGAGAAGGGGGCATGAGGAGGTCCTCCTTCTTCTCCTCCTTCTCCTCCTCCTGTCCTCCTCCTCCATCCTCTACCTGTTGTCAAGTTTACCTGCGACCACCACCACATCAGAGGCAAGTGGACGGACCACCAAGTAAAAACCTCGCCGGAGACCTCGCGGGAAAAGGTGGTGGAGTAGATGAAGACTGGCGGCTTGGAGGCTTTTTTTCCATCGTCTGGCGACCACGCCGCTGTCGAACAAAGCTGGGGCGAAGAGCGCAGTCTCTAAGGATTGGCTGGATCGCGTTAAACGTTCGACGGCCTCGCTCACCGACAGCTTCGTCAGCCCCGCGATGTCCAAGGTCGAATTTTCGGTGCACGCGCGGCGCCTGGGAGCAGCGAGGACGATAGCGCGGCAGGAAGAGAAGTCTCACCTCTACTCTCGTGGTTGGGGGGCGGTAGATTCATGGACTAGGGTCCACGGGCATGTCCCGTCGTTCAGATCTCCCCGCTGCTTGTTCCACGGGCCTGCTTGCTGTTTCGAACCAGGACGGGCGAGAGTGAGATTCCTCGCAGGCAGGGGCTGACTCCCGGCAGCTCGCCGTTCCCCAGCACGAGGGCGACATCTTCGCGCCCGGCGACGCGCGCCCGGGCGGAGGCTACTGGGCGCGCGAACCGGAGGCCGCGTTCGAGACCGCGATGGCCGGCGCGAGCCTGCGCGAGGCTAAAGTGCAGGTCCACGAGCGCGCCTCGTCGCCAACGCTGCGCCCCGCTGGAGGGGGGGGGCCGTGGCAGGGCGAGAGCAAGATCGACGAGGCTAAGCTCGCTGTGGCCCTCTCGAAGAAGCAGCTTCTCGCGGGCAACATGATGTCGCAGGCCGCCGAGAGGACGTCGGACCTGCGTTGGCCGGCGGCCAACTGGGGCGCTTGTCCGCGCGAGTTCTGGGCCGGGGGGGCCTCGGGCAATGGAGTCCGAGTCCGCGGGCCCTTAGCGAAGTAAATGTCGGCGCGGACTTGCGAAAGGCAGAACGGCCCGTGAACTTGGGGCCCGCGGCCTGGGTCACCACCCGGCGTTTGCCGATCGCGAGCGGTGCGGTTGCGCCGGGGGGTGGTTTGCGATCAGCGCCGTCGGGGCATGGGGGGCGCGGCGCCGTCCTCGCCGGGCCTCCTCGGGCCGCGGCGGAGAGCTCCGTCGAGGTCCTCGCCCGCGCCCCAGGGCGCCCCCGGGGCGCCAGTTGCGCGCCGCGCCCTCTGTAAACCGCGCCCTTTGGAGTCGCCGATCGAAGAAGAACAAACGCCGGGGACATAAGCTTTCGGCGCTCCGCGCGGATTCCTTGAGTCTGCGCCGGGCCCCCCCCCCTCGGCGCGCGGGGCGCGCCTGGGCTATGCCGACTAGACGTGAGGGCGGCTTCTCGCCAGAGTGACTTTTGGCGCGGGCACGCCCGGGGTCCTCAGACCGCCGAGCGCGAAGCGGTGGCGTCGGCTTGCGCGCTCGGGTTTGGCCATCCCGCGTTCCCCGTCGAGTCGCGCGCAAATGGTTGTTTTTGCCCAGGGCCACTTTTGCGCGCCGCCGATTCTTCGGCGGCGGCGCGTTGATTGGCCCCCGCGACGGCGCGTCGTTGATGCTGTCTCTACTTCCCCATGAAGCGTCGACCAGAGTCGCCCCCTCCGCTTGGCGACCCCGCGCGAGCTTGGGGGGGCGAAGAATGGCGACGACGCGTGAGCTCTGCGGCCCAGCGCGGGCCCGAGAAATCCGCGCGGATCTCAGAGTTTGCGCGTAGATGTCACTGTTCGCCCCACTGCTCCAGGCCCCCCGCCCCGCCCCCCCCCTGGGCTGGGCGCCGCCCCGACGTCATTTTTTATATTATGCGTGCGTCGCCGCCCCAGGGGCGACGCGCGCGCGCCGAGAAATCTCGCAGCGTCTGCGTCGCGGCGGGCGCTTTCCGGCCACGCCGCTGGGGGGCCTGATCGCTGCAAGACGGGCGCGCTGGATGTTCGGGCCCGATGCGCCCCTCCAAGGGGGGCGCGCGGCATCTGCGCGTCTCCGTGCGCCCCATGCGGAGCCCCCCCGAGCTGTCTTCTGGGCCGGCCGCCCCGCCCCCCGACCCTTGCCTGCTCGCAGCGGATTCTGGGCCGGACCTTCCCAAGGCAAGGTCCGCTTCGTCCGACCGATCCGACTCGATGGCGATTCGGCGCGGGCCCGATCCGATGCGACGTCGATGTTCCCACGTTCCAGTGCGACCTGGTGTTTGCTGGGCGCCGTCGCGGCCTCGTGGCGCAGTCCATCGGGTTCGATTCCGACGCCGTGCCGGCGCGCGCCGATCTGACGCGCATTTGATCCGTTCGCGCAGAAATCAAGACGAGGGACGTTTGGCCGTTTTCGGCCCCAGGGGGCCCTCGCCGGTCCTCGGGGCCGCCGCGAAAGATGCAGGACGAAAAGTTGGTCCCAGGGAAAAGGTCGGGATTTCCGGGGGCGCCGCCCCGAGAAAGCAGGACGTCGCACGTTTGAGGAGGACGGGGCTATGAAAGGACGCGTCCGTTCCAGAGCTTTCCGGGATGCTCTGAGAAGGCCGCGGCGCCCGGGGCTTTTTCCACAGGGCCGCCGTGGCTCAGAAATCTTCGGTGCATCTGCATCCGACTTTGTGACAACGTCGGACGAGGTCGGCATCCTTCAACCAATCCCCATCCCCCTCCCCATCCCCATCCCCATCCTCTTCGAGACCCCACCAAATGACCACCCCAGTTGGGGAAGCACCTCTCGAATCCGGAAGGGGACGACCTATATCTCCATCTAAGGGGGCGGTCCCGATCCCCCAAGCTGCGCCCGGCGCGGGGGACGATATGATGGCGGGCGAATTCGTGGTCAGGGACATGGACAGGGCGAGTTTCCACATTCGCCCAAAATTCGACTTCGGGTCTTCCAGGGCCCCCGGGAGCAACGATAGGGGGCAACGATAGGGGTGGATAAGCCTACGGGAGGATGCATCGCCCACTGATCGCCGATGGGGGCCCGATTGTCCCAACTCCCAACCCGCACAGGAAGGTGCGTATTCACAGTCGGCGGCCCATCGCCGATTTATCGGCGATGTATCGCCGATTCCAGGTCGATGCATCCCTCCCTATGCCACCCCTAGCTTTGCCATTCGCGCGGGGGGCGATAGAAACGGGGGGGGCAACGGGGGGCTGCCGAGGAGGAGCCCTGGGGTGAAGTCGGGCCGGTCCCTCTACAGAAGGAGTTTTTAAACATAGCAAAAATAGCTTAAAGGACGATGTTTTGCGTATTTGTCGCGGATGTCTCACGCGCGTTTTCATGCTTATTCTTATTTTTCATCCAAAATCCGCCTGTAGGAGGACATGCCCGAATTAGCTCTAGGGCCCGACAAGGACACCTTGCCCCCCCTCCCACACTACACCCAGCCGCTTCAATTGTTTCGACGCGTGGGCCCCAGAGGTCGTCGGACCACTTCCCCGAGGCCGGTGTTTCGTCCTGGGTCGTTCTCTGGCGCCCCCGAGGCCCGGCGAGGGCCCCCGGAGGCCGAAAATTGCCTAGCCCCCGCCGCTCTCCAATCTTTTCGGGGCGTCGGATCTCTGGGTTCGCACCACCACCAACTCGCGCCCACAAGGCGCCCGCCCCCCCCCCTGGGGCGGCACCGGCGAGGCCCCCGCCCCGCGAAGGCCGGCCTTTGCTTCCCCCTCCCCCCCGCGTGGCGCGGCCAGGTGCGGGGCGCGGCCGTGGCGGCGCTGGTCCAGGTCGGTGCCGGGAGGCCGCCGTGGCCGCCCGCCCCCGCGGAGGCGGAAGAGGTCCTCATCGAAGGGGCCATTCAAGAGG